AAACACACAGTCTTCAGGAGACATGCTGGACACGGTCCATCTGCTGCAAATACGACACTGATGTTTGTTTTTCTTCTTTCAGCTGCTCCCTTCTTCAGGGGTCGCCACAGTGAACAAACTCGCACGAAGACTTGGCGATTGTTTTTATGCCAGATTCCCCTCCTGATGCAACCACAGCCCTCTGTGTGGAGCATGCTGCATCTAGGGCACTCAGAGGAGCAGATGGTGGGGGTTAAGGGCCTTGCTCAAGAGCACAGAGTGGGACAAATGATGGTGGAGGCAGGTGGAAGGGTGTTTTACCTGTGGTCGGTCTGGGGAATTGAACCGGCAACCTTCCATTCACAGGCCCACGTTCTCTAACCTCTGCACCACCACTCCTCTGCTGCAAATATTAGACTGGTACTAGCACTTATACTACAGGTACACAAAAAATACTGCACTTATACTAGTACTAATACGACAAGTATGCAACAAATGCTACACTGATATTAGTACTAGTATTACAGATACACAAGTATGACACTGCAACTAGTACTAATACTACAGGAATACAACAAATACTATATTGATACTAATACTGATACTACAGGTACACACACTCAGCAAAAACTCCACTGATACTTACTACTAATACTACAGGTGCACAACAAATACTACACTGATACTAGTACTACTACAGGAATACAACACAGACTACAATGATACTACAGGTACACAACAAGTACTCCATTGATACTTGTACTAATATTACAGGTGCACAACACATACTACTCTCCGGTGTTTTAAAGACCGACTCTCCTCCGACATGTGGTAGGGCGGCCATGTTGGATCATGGTCGGACATGATTCTGCAGAAATCAGAACCGGTTCTGATCCAAGTGATTTTCTGAAGATGGATCAACATGCAGCTGGACACGTGACCTTTGACCCTGCCTCCAGCTGTGTGTGTTGCAGGGCAGCAACCTTCTGTTGTCCTGAGTTCCACCACCTGTCCTGTTACACAAACACTGAGGATCCATGCTCTTCATCTCCTCCTCCTCCTCGTTTCTCACTGCAGTTACTGTCCTTCTGTCTGTGTGTGTGTGTGAGTGTGTTTGTGTGTGTGTGTGAAGCCTCAGGCAGATTTCCGTTCCACTTCACTTGTGTTGTAGGAGCAGGTGGCGTTACGACACTGAACACAGGGAAACCATCTCCCTCCTGTTTGGGCTCCTGGTTCAGCTGAAACCAGTTCAGACACTCGGATCGCCGAGTCCACTCAAACCTGATCAGAGCTCTGAGGAAACGGATGGACGGAGGCTGAAATCAGCTCCTGTCCAGAATTATCTGCACCACCCTGAGACCCAGAACTCTCTGGAGGGATTATAGTTCTGGTCTGGGATTGCCTCAGGGTCCCCCAGGAGGAGCTGTGTCCCTGAGAGGGAGGTCTGGGTTTCTCTCCTGCATCTGGTGGCTCTGCGACCCGACCAGATATATGGTCAAAGATGTTGAGATTCTTCCGTAACACGTATGTTCTGATAAACATTGAAGCTCAGCGTCACGGTTTGAAAATCAGCAGCTGAGGTTCCTTTTAGCTTTCATCTACTGTTCTGCTACTTTTAGCTAGTACTAGTTTAGCTACTGTCCTAATTCATTTAGCTAGTACTATTTTAGCTACTATTCTACTTCTTTTAGCTAGTGCTATTTTAACTTTTAGCTGCTGTTCTTTTGGTTTTCAGCTAGTGATTTGCTTCTTTTAGCCAATGTTATTTCTAGTTTTTAGCTACTGTTCAGTGGTTCTGAAAATAATCTGATGCCAAATAGTAATTTTTTTTTTATCAAAGTTCGGAAAATTTTATAAAATCTGGCACGTTTTTTGAATTTTATGTGAAGAAATACGTTAACTGTCCAACACATATACTTGAAAGTCAGAACTTTGATGAATCATTTAAAACTGACAAAATATCACAAACCCTTTTTAAACCAAATTCATACAAAGTTAAATTATTTAAACTCTTCAAATGTTTCCAGACTTTAAAGACAATAACTCAGGAGTTTTAAAAGTTTATAACCTAAACAAACACCAACATGTGTGATCAGTACCTTGTCACACAAACCCGATTAAAAAAACCATTTGTTAGAAACAGAACCTGCAGGGATGCATCTCGTTAACCCTTCGCTGAACATTTCTACTATAAGAGTTCAGAGACGAGCCATCCTGCAGCGAGGCACACACTCGAAACACTGATGGAGGCGGCTCTGGGTTCGTGTCCTATTCGGATCAGTCGGGGAGCCAAGACGATTCACTCTGGTATCATCTGTTAGCTTGGAGCTGATTTTTAACAGAAATCCGTGAAACATGTCACCAAACCACAGAGGGATCGTGTTGGATGGAAGGACTGGGCCGCTGTGTTGCCGTGGAAACGACCTGAGTCGATCAGCGTAAAAGAAAGAAGGATGCCGGTGGACTGTTAATGTGAAGTCCAGACCATTACTGACTTCTGACCTCTTCAATCTTAACGGCTAAATAGATTTCCGTGAGTGATGTTTGACCTTTGACCCCCTCGGGCAGGTTCGACTCCTGTTCTGATCGGGCTGAGTCTGAAAATCTGAGTTTGTCTCTTTGAAAGCAGCTCGACTTGAAACAAACAAAAAATAAAAACTTTATATTCTACCTACCTTTTATAGTTTGTTTAATTTCCAAAGGCTTCAGGTACAGAGACATGTGCTGCTGCTGGCCCTGCAGCCAGGGGAATGTTTTAAGAGCAAAGCATGATGGGAATGAATGTGTATTGGCAGCTGAAACTTGAGCTGACTCAGTAAAAACTGATATTTTCATTTGAAAAAAAAAAAAAATTTAATCTGTCATATTGGACTTTGTCTCTATAAAGTCTTGAACTTTATGTCTCTCCAGTCTTGGGACTTTTTTGTCTCTACAGTATTGGACTTCATGTTTCTGCAGTCTTAGACTTTGTCTCTCCAGTCTTTGTGGTCTTGGATTTTATATCCCTCCAGTCTTGGACTTCATGTCTCTACAGTCTATGACTTTTATGATTCTCCGGTCTTAAGGTTTTTTTTTTTTTTGTCTCTGCGTTCTTGGACATTATGTCTCTGTATTGGAGAAAATCTCATTTGAGACAATACGTTTCAGGAAATAGTCCACACCGACACACAAGCTCTACCAGCTCTGGTCACAATGAACAAAATAATAAGCCAGAAATTTTAAGAAGTGATAATATTTAAGGATTTCCCTCAGAACCAGACTTCATGTCCAAATGTTCTGTTTGGTCCTCATTCATAAAGTTTGTCATCATTTACTGAAAGAGTTCCTAAAAGCCAAAGAGAAGGAGTCCAGTTTGCTTCAATAGATCAAACAACATTTTCTCTTTATGTGGGAAGGAGGGAAATATGCGGCTACTGTACCTGTCCCTCCAGCGTTCCCTTGCAGCCCACCTCAGGACCCCAGTGAAAGCACAGAGCGCCACGATAACATTTAACCAAAACATTTATTGGAATAAATCTCCTTTAACTGTAAAAAACATCAAAAACTGTACAGATATTTGAGCAGAACAGGTCCTAGAGCGGACTAAATGAGACCCTGCCGGGCGAGGAGGCGGGTCCTGGAGGTTCTGCGCGCCGTGACATGGTGATGAGGATGAAAACACATGCAGGTGTGTGTTTGGGAGTCTTTGGTCAGTCTCTTGAAAACAACAACATAAGATAATGTTGCAACAAAAACAGCAGATGGAAAAACAAACAAAACAAAACATGTGACATGTCACACGTATGTACAGTCTGAACATGTGATTGTCTCCATGATGTCCACGAGTTCCCATGATCAGAGCCGCAGGTCCGTCAAACTCAAACAGTAGTTGGCTACAAAGGTTCACCACAATCACATTTAATGGCTCCTCCCCCCCCTTTTTTTTTACATCAGACAGAAAAGATCAAGGCACTCTGGGTAAAAAAGGCTAAAGTGGGCGCCTGGAAAATTACCTGCCATTAATCTGTGCAAACAATTGACTTTTAGCCCCGCTGATTGTGAACACGGCAAAATTAAAAGTCCTATTTCAGCTGAGCTGACAGGAAGTGCGGAGGTTAAGAAATGGTTGTATTCAGTCTTAGTGTACCTTTTTTAACAACCTCACTGACCCATTCTTCCTGTTCCCCTTCTGGTCCCTTTCACTGCTCAGCTCCCCGATGGAGCTGAAATTACCTTCAATTGGTGTGAACTGGATGGAAACTCTAAAGTGGTGCTCAGACAGTGCAGTTCCTGGACAAAGTCAAGAAACAATAAAGAAAAGGAAAAAAAAAAAAACTCAGGAATTCACAGTCACCCTTTGTCACTCTTCAACAAGCTGCTCTGGCCACAAAGAACAGCTTTATAAACCCAGTCAGCTCTCAAAAAAAAAAAAAACACAATCAGAGGTGATGAGGACGTCAGCGTGAAGCAAAACGTCAAATAAAACAAGAAAAACTGCCAACCTTCATTTAACCTTCAGTAAAATTGTGAAAAAATAAAATTAAAACATCAAGACAAGGATGGACCTACATGGGGTTTCCAATTTCAGAAATTAAATAAATCTGAATTATTCTTAAGAAACCAAATTTCTATTGCTCTTTAAAATAGGACATCCTGTTAACAGATAGAACTGACAGATATTCTTTAATAAACATGCCAGAAATGGAACATTTAACTGTAAAACACGAGACGAAACCCATTCAAATTCCATGAGCCCCCTTTGTAAACTCAAATATTGGGAAGCCCATATTTGGTCGATCCTTCATTTTGTGTCCATACTGACGTTAAAAAAAAAAAATCATAAAACTGAACAAAACTTGGCGAGCAAAAGCAAAATAAAAACAAAATGAATAAAAGCTATTTGCAAGTGGGTGCTGTGCAAAGGAATCAGTGCGGCTTTGGTGGAAGAACATGGGCGGCGCCAAGTCCCGGTGAGACTACCACACCCGGTCGGTCCAATAGATGTTCTCCCTGGGGTACACCGTGTTAGCGTAGTCTCCTACCTGTTTGCTGCTGTATTTGGGTGGGTTGGCCTTGTAGCTGTAATCCGAATATTGGTCGGAGCCCGTGGAGTTGTTGTCGCCTGTTCCTACGAAGGTGTTGGTAGCTGGGAGGTCCTGAACAGCCTGGTGCTTCTTGGATGCAGAGGGTGACTGTGGTTGAAGCTGGATAGAAGGCAAGGGAGAGTTGGACCGGTAGTGACGGCCCAGATCGGGACTTCCTGGTGGGTAATTCAGGGGGAGATGGATTCTGGGACTGTCGTTGACTTCATTAATGAGGTTGAACTTGAGGCCTTTCTGCAGACTGGCTTCCTCGTCCTCCTCCAGTGGCTTAGTGGGTTTTGGAGCTTTGTTTTTCTTGTTCTTTTTTACTTTGCCATTTTTTGGACCCTGTTTGGGAGCATACAGATCCTTACTCTCCTTCTTGCCAGCTTGGTACCCACTCTTGGTATCCCTCTGCAGCCAGTATCTGATAACCACCACGGCTATAATGATCAGAATCACAACAGCAATGCCTGCGAGGACGGCGTACAAAACATTGTTGCGTTGTTGATTGTAGGAGTAGTCCGGGTCTCCTGCAATGTCTCTGTCTAGAGGTGTGTAGAGACTGTGACCAACCAACGCCTCAATGAGGGACACATTGGATTTGGTTTCATTTATGAAGACGTGGACCAGCGCAGTGGTGTGACGAGGGGGTTTGCCTCGATCACTGACCTTCACTACCAGCCGGTGGAGCCCATTGTGCTTGCCAGGTAAAGGTCGTGTCAATGTGATCTCCCCACTGCTGGATGATATATGGAACAGGCCGTAAGGGTTTCCGCCTGTGATGGAGTACAGCAGCTCAGCATTAGGTCCAGCGTCGATGTCCTCTGCCTCGACTACCTCAACTCGTGTGTCTGGAGGTGTGACAGGTGCAAGGTATATGAAGGAAGAGTTAGACGGTTTGGTGACATAGGGGGCATTGTCGTTCTCGTCCAGGACATTGATGGTGACTCCTACAAAGGAGGATCGAGGGGGTTCCCCAGAATCCACAGCCTTTAGACGGAAGGTGTAGGTGCTTTCTTTTTCACGGTCAAACGAAATACTGGACAGGATGGTTCTTGTGCCGTTCTGGATGATGAACTTTCCATTGTCCGGTTCCACAAACAGAGTCACTCTGGAGTTCTCGCCCTTATCAGCATCATTAACAGTTACAACCCCAACAGGATTTAGTGGAGGCATGTTCTCAATGACAGAGAAGCTGTAGCCATTCAGTGTGAATTTGGGGTCGTTGTCGTTGCGATCGAGAACATTCACCACCACTGTAGCAGTTCCGGTTTTACTTGGAATGCCTTTGTCTGCTGCTGCAACGTGGAACTTGTAATGTTCTTTGTCCTCTCGATCCAGCATGTTCTTTACCCGAACCTCCCCAGTGTTGGCATCAACCTCAAAGAGTCTGGCGGCAGAGAGCTCGATGATGCTATAAATCAACTCTGCATTACTGCCGCTGTCTGCGTCTGAGGCCACCACATCAAGGACTTTGTCACCGGGCTGGTTGCCCTCTGCAAAGTCCACTTCAAGCAGCGGTGGAGAAAAACTTGGCGTGTTGTCATTTATATCTGTGACCTGGACTTTGAGGGAGTTGGTGCTAGATAGAGCCGGGTTTCCAGAATCCACAGCCACAATTTCAATCCTGTAATCCTTAATACGTTCATAATCTAGCAGGGTCGTCGTCTGAAGGAAGTACTTTCTCTTTTGATCGCTGGCTGACTCGCTTGCAGGTCGTAGCTGAAACGGTACATCTCCAGCAACCACACACGTCACCACAGCATTTTCCCCCTCATCCCGGTCCGAGACTTGGACCAGCGCCACCGGCGTACCGATCGGCATGTCCTCAGATATGTTGGCCACACCTTCCTGGTGGATTACCAAGCCAAAACCACGGATCTCGATAGCTGGCGAATTATCGTTCTGGTCCTTGACATTGATAGTCACCAAAACCTTGGAACTCTTTGAGTTGGGTCCACGATCTCTGGCGACCACGAAGAACTTGAGGAAAGTCTCTTCCTCTCTGTCCACCAGGCCTTTGACGTAAATGATTCCTGTAGAGCGATCGATGCGCAGCTGCCTCTGGACCGCCTCGGACGCCTGGTGTAGGCTGTAGTCTATCTCCCCATTGATGCCGGTGTCTGCATCGTTGGCTCGGACCTGAAAGAACAGAAACAGAAAATAATTTTAACAGATTAATGATGTATGGAAAGGATAGCTAGACTTTATGAAAATCTAAATAAAATTATAATTTGTAACCAATAGAACTGTTTGCTTTAATAGCAATATGGAAATCAAACTTTTTAAACGCTAAATAGAAGTAATTTGTTTTATTACAGTAGAAATTATAAAGGCTTTAGTAAGGAGAAAAACAAAGTTATTAATTTTATACCAGAAAACATTACCATATTTTTTTGGCCTATAAATCCAGTTTTTTTGCATAATTTACATGCCCTGCGACTTATAGACCGAAGCGACGTATTTATAGATTTTTCCCATATTTATAAACCAATATTTGGCTGAGATATGACCCTTTTCATTCATTCTGACCGGAAATTTTTTTAACAGTACCATTTTCAGCCACTAGATGGCAGAGTAGTAGTAGTAGCAGTAAGGCATGCCGTTTATAATGTAATAGGTCAACATGGCTATAATGACAAATTCAAAAAAGTTCAATATAAAAACAACTGGACTTTATTATACATTATTGTTTTTGTCTTGAACATTTTTGAATTTACCATGTCCTGGATGAATGAGAATTTTCACCAGCTATTAATGAAACGAGCAGCGTTCCTCCTCATTTTATTTTTTTCCTCCCTTTGCATGCTCCCGGAGCACCGAGGCAGCGACGGCAGCTGATTTGACCGTTAACGTTAGACTGAGACACACCTTTACTATAACTTCACGCTCACAAATAATTGTTTTTAGGTGCTTATCTTGTTAAATTTCGAAGAATTGCGGAGGCTCATCCCTCTGCACGTGCCCGCCGCTTCCGCGAATCAGGTTTTGAAATTCAGCTGATTTGACTGTCAAAGTGCATTTATTAAGCAAAAGGTAGACTGAGACCTCCTGTGCACGCTCCCGCGGCCGGCATTTGGCAGCCCGTTGATTTCTGGCACAACACCGGCCCACATTTCCAGGTTGTCAGCGGTGACGCGTAACAAACGCGATGCGTCAGAGGTGACGCATAATAGATGCGACGTATACGGCGAAGCAACATATTTATGAATTTTTCCACTTTATTAGACATATTTGGAGTAATGCGACTTATAGGGCGGTGCGACAGGTACGGCAGGAAATACGGTAAATCATCGTAAATTATGCACTACTTTATGGATTTACAGAATTTTGACTAATATTTCAGTCAAGTTTCACTCGTCGTCCCAGTATCTCTGGGTTCCATTTTAAAGACTAATTTGCTTCTTTGACTCACATTAACGCAGTTTCACAAGGCTGTGTGTATTTTCTAATGGGGGTAAAGGTTTCTGCTTTGTGTGTGTGTGTGCCCCCACACACGACATCTAACAGCATGCAACGATTCTGGTGAGTGATTCTTAATGTTCCTCTCATTATAAGAAAATCCTCTGGGACGATTACGGGACCTGAGAGGACAGACCAACATCGGCCACAGTCCAGTTTCACGTGTCCAAACCCAAAGTAAATGGAGGCGATTAGTCAATTAGACTAAGACAGCAGTCAGCAAAATATCTCCCGGGCTGAGCTTGTTAGGATGGCACCTCTGTCTGCAGAACCAATGCTTTTTAATCAGATCCATTCAGCGAGAGTCTCGGTTGTCATTAAAAATGGAAGTTGTCGTCAAATAAAAGTCGAAGTGGCCGGTGTCTATAAATACATCAGGCGCTGCTGCTTCAGCGTTTCTTCAGCCTCCACCTGGGACCTTCAGTAATGTAATTAAGGTTTTTAAATCTTCAAGCCAATTATTCCTCTAAAGCACGTGAACCTGTGCCAAGCGTGCACTCAGCAAAATAATGTCTTAAAAAGTCCTTAAAAAGAGGAAAAAGTAAATCTGCCAGTGTTGTGGCGTTATTGAAGCTTGTAAGAGCAACAATAAAACTCCCGCTGGAGCCAAGGACACAGAAATCTATAATCTGAGCAGCGAGGAGAGCATCTCTACAGCCCGACTCTCAGGGAAATATTCTGATTTGTTTTGAGTCAAAGTGTAAAACAGACACGGGATAATTAAAAACCAGCAGCTTATCTCAGCCGACAGGTAGTAAAGCTCGGGGCTAAAGGAAAATAAAGTCACCTCTGTTCTACTCTAAAGATGTTCAAAGTTTTTATGTTCAGTTTTTTTTTTCCTGAATGAATTAAAAAACAAACAAAACTCCAAACTAAAAAAAAAACAACAGCACCTGAATAAAAATGAACTGGACGTATTAGATAAACTTTTAAACAACATTAAGATAGCGAAGCAGCTACCGTAATCGCCGCCGCACACGTCGCACCGCCATATGAGTCGCATGAGTCCAAATATGTCTAATAAAGTGGAAAAAAAACAAACATAAATAAGTTGCTTTGCTGTATAAATCGCATCTATTATGCATCACCGCTGATGCGTCGCATTTGTTACGTGTCACCGCGGAACAACCCGGAAATGTGGGCCAGTGTTGTGCCAAAAATCGATTGGCTGGGAGCACGCACGGGAGGACTTTAACAAGAATTTAACAAGATTAACACTTAAAAACAATTATTTGTTTGCTCGAAATGATAGCAAAGGTGTGTCTCAGTCTAACTTTACCTTAATAAATGCACTTTAAAGGTGGCGGCGCGGCAAAATGCAGCTGATTCGACATTTGCTCCAGGAGTTACGGAGCGAGACAAAGGTGACGCTGTATGGCAAGCCATGTGCCTCATTAATAGACACTTTTACCTATTAATGAGACACTTGGCTTGCCATATTACTCAATTGCCCTGTAGCGGCTGAAACTGGTAGTGTTCAATATGTTCCACGTCAGAATGAATGAAATAGTCACATCTCAGCCAAAAATAGGGTTATAAATATGAAAAAAATAAAAAATTAAGTCGCTTCGCTGTACAAGTTGTAGGGCATGCTAATTTATGCAAAAAGGTGTGACTTATATAGCGAAAAATACAGTAAGCTAAGTTAGCTTTAAGCTAAACTCAGGTGTTAGGTCAAAAATAAAAACCTTGTAGCTTAAAATCAGATTTTTTTTAAAAGTTAAAGAGTGTTCAGCTAATTTACTTGATCACAAATGTACTTTAAAAAGACTAAAAATCTTCATGGATAAAAATGAAATATTTTAGGTTTACACAATGTTACATAACAATGAGCTAAAAGTAAATCTTTTAAGTTTTTCACATTTTAACCTTCAGGCTGAAGGAATTAAACTGTTTTAAACACAAAATAATCTGATAAAGTTGAGGCAGAAAAGATTGTTTGGGACCCCTGATTAAGTCTTTCTACTTTTATTTGATGAGTTATGTTTTTATTTAACGAACAGATGGTTTTATTTGGTGTTCTGAGATTCTTGTGTTGGGGTTCTGGTGTCATCAGTTCAGTGTTCCTCTGTTTGGATCCTGCTCCTCGGGTGCCCCCCCCCCCTCTCCACCTGCACCTCGGCTCATTTAGCACAGCTGTTATCAGGTATCTCCTCGTTTGACGGTCCATTGATACCTCTTTGACGGTTCAGAAACCAGTGGAGCGTTAAGAAAGTCTCATACCAGTCTGGTTTCTGGTTCTGTCTCCGTTCTGCCCATATGATTCTGTTCACACAAGTTTTACTGCCGCTTTGTTTTGGTTCTAATAAAGTTTTAGTTTATTTGCTGTCTCATGCGTCTGTCAGCATTCCTGGGTCTAAAACACACAACTGGAACACGGTCAGGACACCCGGTCCAAACAACCAGTCAGAACCCTCGGTATCCCTGGTTAATAATTAGCGTCTGGACAAGCAGACCAGAGTCTGAAGGTCGCAGAAAGTTGATAATTAATCAAAACGAGGGTTTTGTTTAGACGTTAAACCAGTTTCTTTGCTGCTCTAAAATAAAACAGTTCAGAGTAAATCTGTTAAAAGCTGACCTCAGATTATGTTTATTGCAGATTAAATTATATTGTAATGATCAGTGAGGACTTGTAAATCATTTTGGATCACATTTTTAAATGAATAAGCACGTTCTTCAAAAAATATATTTACCTGGTATATATATATATATATATATATATATATATATATA